GGGCATTACTGAACAAAGAAAGTCCGTTCCCGTTTCATGCTGCCAGCAACGGCTCCACATGGAAGAGAAATGTCTCAAAATCTGAGAAAGGAAGTAGTTTCTTTATGCCAAAAGGGTGAGGGCTGCAAGAAGATCAGCAAAGCTTTACATGTCAGTCAGAATACTGTAGCAAAAGGGATCCAAACATTTAAGAACGTTCATAATCAACTTTATTTATAAAAGCACCTTACAGACATTTGTTATGCCACCAAGGTGCTGAACAGGACCAAAATAAGAAAACAAATAAAAACAACAAATATATATAAAAACCCAAAAGAAGTCACAAAAAACAAGAACATTTAAATAACAGCTAAGACAGAATTAAAAGCCAGGTCTTCAGCGCCTTTTTAAAAACTTCGACTGACGTGGAGAGCTGCACTGATTATGGAAGATCATTCCATAATTTCGGGACTGCTAAGGTGGAAGTGCAGCCAACTTACAAAGACGTCCAGGCCGTCCATGGAGGTTAACATCTGGACAGGAGCGTCTGCTGATGAGAAGGGTTGAAGAAAGCCACCATGTAAGTTCACTGCTGTTGGCTAAAGCAGTAGAAAGCCAAACTGGCGTGACCGTTTCCCGTGACACCATACGGTGCACACTGCAGAGGAATGGCATGCATGGGTATCGTCCACGAAGGAAGCCTCTGCTATAGCCCACGCACAAATAACCTGTCTAGGATGTGCTAGGGCCAATAAGACTACTGGAACTCTAGACTCTGGAGCGATGAGACAAAGATCTCTGGTTTTGGATCTAATGGTTTCTAAACTGAATGGTGTCGTAAAGGTGAGGATTTCAAAGACAAATTCAGGTGCCTACAGAGAAGCATGGTGGTGGTGGTGTCCTTACGTGGGCTGCATGAGTGCTGCTGGTGTTGGGAAGCTGCATCTCATTGTTGGTGTCATGAACTCAACAATGTCCTGCTCTATACTGAAGGAGAAGATGCTGCCATCACTCCGTGCACATGGTCTTCGTGCACTTTTCCAACACGACAGCGATCCAGAACACACATCTAAAGCTGCTGGTGCATCTCTGAAGAAGATCAGGGTGAAGGTGACTGAATGACCAAGTGTGTCTCCTGATCTGAACCCAGTCCAACACCCGTGGGTATTCTGAAGCAGCAAGTAGAGCGTCGTTCTCCATCCAGCATCCAGGCTCTAGAAGAGGTTCTTCTTGAAGAATGGAAAGAGATCGATGTTGTAACATGTCGCCATCTTGTTCATTCCATGTCTAGAAGACATGGTGCTGTCCTTGGAAACCACGGTGGTCATACAAAATACTAGATGTAGTAGTTTTTGTTGTGGGGTGTATTCATTCAACCAGTTTTAGTAAAACTGAAGATTTAGTGCTCTAAGTTTTATTATTAACCTTAATTTATGTTATGGGGTTAAACACGTGTTCAATAAACCCAGCCTGGTGAACATTCTGGAGACTGTTATTTTGTTCACAAGCTGCTGTTAAATTCATACTTTTTAAAGGGAGTGTACTCCTTTATGATCAGCACTATATATAGTAGCTGTTTCTCTAGTTTATTGTGCTTGTTTCTTAATTTTGCTCATCTCAATTTTTTCTTTTTGCATCAAATAAGTGCTAATGTCGTTATTTCTCACACACATGGTAGTAAAGCCCTCCTGATTCTGATTTCACAGGTACACTGGACACTACTTCATTACCACACTGCTGTACTCGTTCTTCCTGGGATGCTTTGGTGTTGACCGGTTTTGCCTGGGCCATACAGGAACTGCTGTTGGGAAGCTGCTAACCCTTGGAGGTCTGGGAATTTGGTGGTTTGTGGATCTCATCCTGCTCATCACTGGCGGTCTGATGCCTAGTGATTACAGCAACTGGTGCACCTACTACTGAGACAAAATATGCCACTACTTATTTGGCTCTTTGAAGTAGGACTCCAGAGAAAATCTGCAGGATGTTTTTGTTGTTGTTGTTTAGAAGCAGAGGTTTGGGATGTCCAAACTTCCATTCTGTGCTGGAGAATGAGAAAACCGTATGATTACATTTGAGTAAGTTTACTAGTAAAGTTTCACTTTGCAGAATATTTGTTAAAATGAAGTGTTAACATCTGTGCTGTTTAAGTGGAGGTTGTAATATAGTGTATTTAGTCTGAACTATCAGAATTTTATTGTTGATGCTTTGTTGTTGTAAGTAAATGTCACAGGTCAAGTGCCGATTCATGGAGAGCCAGTGGGCTTAAAGCCAATAAAGGAGATTGTTTTCCACCAGTGACTTGATTTAAAATAGCACGATGTACATTACTGTGCTGTTGACGGTTAGCTTATGTTCACCCTTACAACGTGTGGGATGACGGTGCCGTTGCGCCTGTTGTCCTTTTCTCCATCCAAAGCATCAACCAGCAAAGAAAAGGACAACAGGCCCAAAGGCACCATCATCCCATACGTGGCAGGAGTCTCAGAGAAACCTAGAAGAATCTTCTCCAAACACGACATCCCTGCAAACTTTAACCCCAACAGCACCCTCAGACAGAACCTGGTCCATCCTAAAGACAAAACACCCAAACAGAAGCTCAGTGGCGCGTTTATGCACTCCAGTGTAGGAGCACTGTCCAGATCTTTATATCATTGAAACTAAACAACTACTACACAAAAGCATGGCACAACACAGGAGAGCCACCTCTTCAGGTCAGGACTCTGCAGTCCACCTACAACTGAAGGACAAGGGACACATTCTGGACAGAGAAGATAGCTTCTTTTACTCCTCCCTCAAATCAGTAGCGGTTTTAGGCACGGGCAGACAGGGCAGTTGCCCGGGGCGGCATTTTGTCATGACACAAAAGGGGCGCACAAGCGCTGAGTAAAAAATAAAAAAATAAATCTGCGCCGCACCGAGGTTTTCTATTATCTGTCATATGACAGTGTCTGGATTGGAAACAGCAAGTTGGCGCCCCCTGCAGCTGCAGGCGCTCCTGCTGACTGAGGGTTCAGGTGCACCACAGGAAGGGGAGGGGTGCGGCGGGGGAATTCACCTCTGGGTCTTTCCCAAATGAAATGAGCGGGTAGGGGCTGAATCAACTGTATTAACATGGCTAAAGTCAATCACATCTCAACGTTCTTCCATTTAACACACATTTCATTCATAATATCATAAACACAGGCCTATCATTCTTTCAGGCTTTTCTGAATTGTGTGAAATGACCGAATAAAAAAAGGAAAAACAAAGATTTTGTGGTCACCCCCCCATCAAGGTCAAATAGTTTAGTCCTGACTAAAGGAAACTTATTGAGTCAGGAGCCAAACAGAAGAGATGAACATAAAAAGGCTAAAACCACCTGGTGCCCCATTCAGGAATAAAAAGAAAAAAAGAGGAGAAAGATTTTCCATTTTTTAACCAGTTAACTGAGATTTTAACGGTTAAATTCGGTCAACTAATTGCTAACAGAGCTAATAGGGCTGAAATATTGAAACAAATATTCAAATGGTTCGAAAAAAGTCCTTGAATGGTTTTTTACTGATTCAAACTAGGATTTGTTAAATGCTCGCTGCAGCCCGTGGCCTGCCTGAACAACAACAAACATGTTGATCAAGTTCACATAATAATAAATAAAACGACTCTACAAGCAGAAGAAAACTCCCCAGTCACCACTAACTATCCTGTTTATTTATTGCAGATGGCTGCACTGATTATTTTTTACATGATTTGTTCTGTAAACGTTGGCATTTTTGGTAGTCTACAGTTTTTTATGTCAGTTTAAATTACAATTTCAGAGGCAATTCTAAAATATTATGGATCATGATAAAGATCTATTGGAGATCTACCCCAACTTTTGGACTGCTCTGCCAGTCACTGTGGCTCAAGCTGAGAGGAGCTTTTCAAAACTTGATCAAGTCATACCTGAGGTCACCTATGTTTCAGGGGCGGCTCACTCACCTGGCTCTGATTAGTATCAATCACTCAGTAGGGGAGCAGATTTCATATGATGACATTATTGATGACTTTGCATCAAGGTTAGGTTTTAATTTTAGTTTGTGTTTTCTGTTCTAAGTAGGTGTTGCATGACAATTTTTTTTTAGTCGACAGTCAAGTAATGAAAATCGAGTCGACTTCGACTAGTTGTTGATGACGTCATACACCTGAAGCGGCGGGGGTGGGGTGGTCGGTAGGTTCGCTGGAGTTTTTGACAATTAAAATTGCGCCCAAATCGAAAGAAATAATTTTTTAAGTTAACACATTTCTTTTAACAATAGTTTCTGCTTCAGCCCTCTCCCCCCTCCCCCTGCTTCAGCCCTCTCCCCCCTCCCCCTGCGCAGCGGCCGCAAACTCACTGATGCGCCTGCAGCCTCTCGGGAGTTCCTGCTGCTCTAAACATTAAAATAATTATTTCATTTTCTGTTCCTCACTTCTGATGACCTTCAATGGTGTCTGTTTGTTGCAACCAGCAGGTACAAAAACTAACTTGTTTTTATTTGACTATTTTTCTGTCCTGCCTGTTTATTATCTTCCTGCATCTCCTCTCAATCCTAAAGAGAAACTGCTACCTGGGTTCATATATATTCACCTCATGAGTTACCTTTGAACTGCAGTTCTAAAAGATCTACCGACCAGAAAACAGCGGAGTGCCGCTGCTCGCCGGCCGACTACAACGGGACCGTTTTTGCTGCGGAGTTCGTGCCGGAGCGGAGCGGAGATAGTGGAATCTTGGGGGTGCGTCTCCGGAGAACAAAACAGGTGAAGAGCCTCGCTCCGCAGCAGCGAAACGCATCAGGCACAAATAAAAGACAGAAAACATAAAAGGAAATGAGCCGACATGAACGATCGTGTGTTTAAATTGTTTTTGAGGTGGCGACACCTGATTTGATATTGTTACTGTGGCCGTGCTCAGGACGCAGATGTCTGGAGCGCGTCAACGATCAGAGCTTTGCATGCGCAAGCTGGTTAAGGTTAGGATGGGGGTGAGGGGAAGGTAAAATTGCAAGAGGGAAAAGGTCACAGTTTGGTTAAATGTCCGTTTTACCGCGGGTGTCAGTACCGCCGCTCTGGCACAGCGCGTCGCCTCCGCCTCCCGACGCGCAGGGGCTCATCACCTGCTGGAGGACTGCATCTTGTCAGTCATTATCACATGACAGCGACTAGTCGATGACAGGCATAAAAAGTCACTACAGAGCCGTGAAGTCGACTAGTCGACTAGTTAATACAACCCCTAGTTCTAAGTGCAATGCTGTAGTGATTATCTTTAGTTTATATGTGAAATATTTTTGCTATTTAGGATATTTATTATATATTATGTTCATATATTCTTAATATTTAGTTACTGTTTGTTTTTGTATATTTGACTATATATTTTGATACAGTATATAATGTATATTGCTTTACATTCTGATAGCTTCATAGCAAGTCACCCCCTACCAGATTCTTACTCCACTCCCACTTCCTGTTTGAAAAATGCAACAAATGCTGTTGCCTAGCAGACCGAGAGGGTGGAGCCACTAACAAATGCACACACTCACGACATTGTAACATCATAATGTACCATCTAACATCATAGTGGACCTCTTAGCCAATAGCGACGGCAGATTTAAATTCAAATGCAGTGCAGAGTTTTTACCTGACGACGGTGGAACACTGACAGTTTTAGGCAGAACATTTAAATTTTAACTAAAATGCACTAAAGTGCCGCATTATTGACTACACGTGTCTGCAGCACGATCAGACACTCATTTATATAGTTTATCAGGAAAAAAATGTTGATTTGGAGTGACTTGCTCTTTAATGTAAATATGTGCAACTTAGAAAAATGAGTGTTCAATAGTTGTTCTAATAAAACATGCCTGTTTGTAGAAAACATGCGTGTGTGCGTGCGGGGGGGTGGGGGTGGGGGGCTCAAAGGGGGCCTCGCCCAGGGAGTAATTGCATGTAGAACCACCACTGCCTCAAATCATCTATGTCAAATGTGGAAAACCCACTTTAAATAGGGGTGGAGCTTAGATTTCACCTTTCCAGCACCTATAATGCAGCTTTGGATCTCATTCCTAAGCAGTTTCAGTGTAGGTCACACCTTCCTGCATCTAATCAACACGACTCCCTCTCAGTAGAGGCTAACGACTCATCGGGATGGAGAGGAGGGGTACCCAGAGTACAGGGTGGGCCATTTCTATGGATACACCTTAATAAAATGGGATGGTTGGTGATATTAAAGTCCTGTTTGTGGCACATTAATATATGTGAGGGGGCAAACTTTTCAAGATGGGTGGTGACCACGGAGGCCATTTTGAAGCTGGCCATCTTGGATCCACCTGTTTTTTTCAATAAGAAGAGGGTCATGTGAAACATCAAACTTATTGGGAATTTCACAAGAAAAAATGGCGGGCTTAGTCTGAATGTAACCAATAATTGTTTTGCCTCAACTTTAAAGACCACTAGCATTAGTGACCGGATTCTGAGACGCTGAATAATGGGAAGAAAAAAAAACAGATAAACTAATTGTTTTAGTAACCCGTCTAAAACCTGTGCCATAGTAACCAGGCTGTTTATATTCTGGCATCAGTTATGTGAGCTTTTAGCTTAATGTTGTAATTGAAAGACTGGCAGTTATTCTCCTAAAATAAAAATAGATAAATAAAAATGAAGGGAAACTTGCATTTGGGTTAGATTGTGCCTAATGATTAAAACCTGTGTAGAACTAATTTGATGATTCAGAACAATTATGCCTAGGAAGTAATCTAGATTTATCTTTGAGTCAGTTAAGTCGACTAATTATTGGAAGCCATCGTTGGCTTGTTAAAGAGAAAGTTCTGTCATTTCAACCTAATCAACATATTACTTTAAGGAAGATTATTGCTTTGATCTGTGGCGACATGAACTTTACTGGGTTGGTCTGTCACAGAGACAGAAAACCAGCAGCAAAAGGTTTCCTGGGTCTGGCTTCTACCCAAAATGACTCAGAAGCCCCCTCCAAAGCTGTGGATGAACATGTGGTGACTGACATTCATGAAACTGTTTACAACATCAAGATGGTGGAGCACTATGGGACAGAAGCTTGTTTGTCCGGCTTCAGATGAAACAAGGACAAAGGGGGAGGAACATGTGTGCTAACATGTGGACTTTAATCACTGACTGTGGTCATCTTGGATCTACAAACAGGGTCAAAGAGACTCCTCTGGTCCCACCCAGTGGAGAGTGTTTGCTGCAGTAAGGTCATGGAAAAAGCTTTTTGGCAACAATCAGTTGATTTAGTGAAATGTCAGAGTTGTGGAAAATTTACTAA